TAGGAATTTACCCTAAGAATGCAGGAGCCCAGTTTGAAAAAGACATATGCACCCCTATGTTTATCTCAGCACTATTTACAATAGCCAAGAAATGGAAGCAACCTAAGTGTCCATCAGTAGGTGAATGGATAAAGAAGATGTGGTATATATACACAATGGAATATTTTTCAGCCATAAGAAGAAAACAAATCCTACCATTTGCAACAACATGGATGGAGCTAGAGGGTATTATGCTCAGTGAAATAAGCCAGGCAGAGAAAGACAAGTACCAAATGATTTCACTCATCTGTGGAGTATAAGAACAAAGAAACAACTGAAGGAACAAAAAGAGCAGCAGACTCACAGGACCCAAGAATGAACTAACAGTTACCAAAGGGAAAGGGACTGGAGAGGATGGGCGGGAAGGGAGGAATAAGGGGGAAAAAGGGTCATTACTATTAGAAAGTATAATTTAGCGGGGGGACATGGGGAAGGTAGTATAACATAGAGAAGACAAGTAGTACTATAGCATCTTACTACGCTGATGGGCAGTGACTGTAATGGGGTATGTGGTGGGGACTTGATAATAGGGGGAGTCTAGTAACCATAATGTTCGTGTAATTGTACATTAATGATAGCAAAATAAAAATAAATAAATAAAAGAAAATGCCTTGTGTTGCCTCATGAAATAGAGGACATGTAATTTTATGTGTATAGTCTTGCAGTATAATTTCCTGGGACACCAAAATTAGAGAACATGAAAGACTTTATGCAGATGTCTGTATATTCAAAACATTCTGCCTTTATTACAATCTAATTCCTAGATTTGAATGGGGGGTATGAATAGACAGTTCCAAATTTTATCTTCTCATCTTGAATACCTTAATATGCTGTTTGGTTTTGTGAGGATTAAATTAGGAAATTAAAGCTCCATCTTATAGTAGAGGTAAGTCTCTTAAAAAAATGGGAGTTTGCTCAATAGATTTAATCTACCTATATTAATCAAACATTTATGGAGTGGTTATGATTTGCCAGAAATCCTAAATGCTTTAAAACATCCAGACATTTTAGCTCTGGAGGCCATGTGCTTAACTACTGTACTCTGTGGCCTTTCTAATTTTCCACATATTGTATTTCTGCCATATGTAATTTTGGAGAATGACAGACCAAAGTCAAAATATGGAGCTGGAATTGCACTGATAACAGTTGTGGGCCCAAAGGTGCCCCTCCTTGTGCTTCTTTTCTTGGAGGGCAGGCAAGAAATATAGATAAAACTTCTGTAGCCTTTCCTTTTCTGGGTTGGAAACTCTGTGCTTTCTTATTTTCCCAGGGGCAGGAAAAAAAAAGCAGCATTTTTAATGTTGTCGAAAAAGGAAAGAATGGGTCTGAGCCTTCATAGTTAGAGACGAGAAAAGTCCATCAGTTGTCAGAAAGCAAGAGTTGAGGGAATTCATGCAGTCACAGCTCAATAAAAGGCACTGCAGGTACTGATGACAGATTACTGTTCTCATAAACCTGAAGGCATGATCTAGAGCTCAATCCCAATGTCTGCCAAACTCAAAGAACTGAAAGAAAAATGGGACATAGGAGATGATTTAGATTGCACCTGGTAAAGAAGGAACGCATGCACCCTAGATGTGCCTTGTGAGATAAGACAAGCATTAGCAGAGTTTGACTTCTGCTTGCTTTTTCCAGCCTGGTGTAACTGTTAATAGAAAAATTTGGCATTTCAGAGGTATTTCTGAGAGGTCTGGTTTTTTTCAGGAACCCTAGAAGCTGGAATGTGACTCTTACCTGGATGGGGGAAACTACCGGTTAATATTTGCTCCACAGTTTTAAATGCTGGTAGGTCAGTATCTGGTAGGTGTCTTAAGTGATGTGGTGTGTATTTGTTGAAGTGATCTCTGCTTGTCTAGTATAACACTCCTATGGACCCTTGGGGGTTCTTCATAGGAAAAAAAACAAACCCAACTGCAAAGCATGGTTCCTGATGGTGCTGCCTTACATGTGCTTTGTTTTGTTGACTCTGCCCTTAGTGGCCCATTGATGGAGTAGAAATATCTGGACCTGGCAGACATAGATCCAATTTTGAAATCTGCTGATTATATACCAGCTCAATAAGTTGAAACAAAGTAATATTTCCAACCTTGAGTCTGCTCACCTATAAAATGAGTAACATTTTATCCCTCTCTGGGTCTTCTTGAGGATAGTTACCTACCTTAACAAATTAAGCCAAAAGTCTTAGTGGCTTAAAATAATAAACATTAATCATCTCGTGCAATTCCTGTGGCTCAGGAAATCTGGA